CCCGGGGGGGGGGGGGGGTGCGCACACAGGCCACTCAGCCACTGGGAAGGCACGAGGCAGGCAGAGGCGCCCAGGTCCACGGCTGGGCATGTGTGGCCCTGGCACAGGCACGGGAGGGAAGGTGCCAGGAAGGCAGCGCCAACCTCCCAGCACAGCCGCTGTCCACGTACCCACCGCCTGCCCAGGGTGGTGTGACCATGAGGACGTGTGTGCACACCCTTCTGTGTGTCCGTGTGTGCGTCCTGTCCATGCATGTCTGCATGGGGAGATCTGCATGCTGTGACTAACCACAGTCTGCATACCTGTGCTTGCACACACTTCAGTATAAACACAACGGACACGCCTGTCACCCCAGCACCCTGGGAGCTGAGGCAGGAAGATCACAAGTCCAAGCCAGCTGGGGAAACTTGACTTAGCAAGACCCTGTCTCAAGACGAAAACCAGAAATAGCACTGGGAGGTTGCTCATTGTAGAGGACACAGGTCCGATCCCCAGGACCACCAGCACGACACTGGCGAGTCCCTGCACACGTGTGCGTGTAAACGCTCAGTGTCGCCTGTCTGGATGTGTGAATCTGCCTCACGGGGTCAGGCTGCAGGACAGCAGGGCAGAGGGTGGCTCACTTCCCCACAGCCTGAGGGAGACTCACCAGGCACAAATGCGGCTCACCTGATGCTGCTGCTGCGCTGCTCCGGGGGCGGCAGCTCCAGCGCCAGCCCAGCAGGTAACGGGGGCCCTGTGGGCAGCGGCTGCTGCTGAAAGATGAGCTCAGGCGTCAGGTCCACCTCGGTGGGGCTCACCATGATCTTGGCCGCGGAGAGCAGTGCTGTCTTCCCCTTGTTGTAGTTCTCTAGCACCTGGGGTACAAGGCACAGCCCGGTCACCTCATGACTGGTAGCCAGGCCACGGCACCCTCCATGGTGGCCAGCGTGCACCGGTGGCTGAGCTGCTGGGGACAGGTGCCTGGTGTGGCCTGGCTGCCCCCTTGTGGGCGCTGCAGGTGCAGGGAGGACTAGCACAGGCTTGGCCTGGGCCAGGAGGTGATGCCACCTGTGGTGCCCGACTCTCACTCGGGAAGACCGCTCACCTTGTTGAGCCCCTCCATGACCACGTAGGGCAAATGCTCATGCAGCATGGCCGGCGAGATGATCACCTCATTGAAGGCCTTGTTGTCGCCCCAGATGGCGAAGTACGTGGGCTCCTCCTGTTCACAGCAGCTGGCGGGACAGGGCAGGTCCCGTCACGGCCCAGCTGGGTCTGCCTGGGGGACCAGCCCTAAGCTTGGCCAGGGTGGCTGCTGCCCACAGGAGGGAGGCAGGAGAGGCCCCCCGTGTGCCCCTGCCCACTCCTGTTCCTGGGCTGCTGGGGATGGCCGCCCCGCCACACTCCTGTTCACCCTGGGACCCAGGGTGTGAGGCCCTGCCTTCCTTGCTGCCCAGTCACCTCACCCATGCACTGGGTGCCACCTACCAGCTGTGCTCCGCGGGGTGGTTGTGGACCACGTGGATGATGCGGCCTGGCGGGTAGAGTGGGGTGCTGGCGGACAGGGCGATGGTCAGGTCGCTGGGGTGGGTCCAGAGCCGGGTGCTGGCCAATGCGGTCACCTCCACCTCCTCAGGCAGCTCTGACTTGGGGATGCACTTGGTGGCCCCCACGATGATTCGCCACTGTGGGGTGGGGATGGGGACAGGTGAGCACACACAAAGGACCTGGGGTTGCTGGGTGCAGGCTGCTCCCTCTGAGCCCATCGAACAGCTCAGCTGCTGCTGGGTGGGGTCCCGGCCACCAGGTTCCCGGTCTGGTCAATGCCTAGGTGGGGTTCCTCCCCCCAGGACTCCACCACAGGCCTGGCCCAGGCACATGCCAGGGACCCCGGACACCATGGGGCACGGCAGGGCTGCAATGGCTGTAAGGGGAGGCTGCAGAGCTGTGCAGGTGACCTCAGGGGTGACCTCAGTGGACCCTCAGCTCCAGGCCCAGTTCCCAAGGCTGGCTTGTGCCACAGGACCCCGGGTGACGGGTGAATCCTGTCCATGCTGGGCCTCAGTTTCCCTGTGGTACCCTGACAGGCTCGGAGACTCATGGGGCGCCTGGGGGGCTCTGTCCCCAGGGAGCCGAGGGGACAGGGCAGGGACCCACCTTGGGCTTGGTGCTGCGCTGCAGGACGTCCAGCAGCTGCCTGCGGAAGCCCTCCAGCTGAGACAGGCCAATCCTGGGGAGGGAGGTGGGGGCCGCCAGGGTTACAGGGGGTATCTCGGGGCAAGCGAGGGGGCCCAAGACCCCATCTTCTCACCACGAGCGAGCGACTGCAGGTGTGGAGGGGCCCGAGGCGGGGCAGGCCTGCCGGGCCACATGGGAGGGGACTCGCCTGGGAACCAGGTCCTTGCCCAGAACCACGGCCGTCACGAACTCTTTGGAGTATTCCATTGCATCCTCACTGCAAGGGAAGGGCAGCCCTGGGCAGCTCCCGAGGATGGCCGTCCAGGGCTGCACAGGGACATGCGGCAGTCCTCATCCACCCACCGTGGGGACGGCTGGGCCCGGGTCACCAGCTGGGCTTGGGAGCTGCTGGGCCTGGTGTCGGTCACGTCCCCTCTTCTGGGGCACTGTCCCCCTGCTGCCACCGCAACTAAGCCTCTGCCCCAGGCAGAGCCGGGGATCCCCCCGGAGCGGTGGCTGGGAGAGTGACCGCACAGTCGTCCCTGGGTGGCCCCGTGGCCGGAAGCCCAATGCCCTCCTGGCCACCACTCACCTCAGCAGGCCCCCAGGAGGCGAGTAGGCAAAGCACTTGAGCGTCGGGTACTGTGGGCGCAGGAGGAAGGACAGGATGGCGGCTGTGCCGGCGCCCAGGGAGTGGCCCACCACGATCAGGCCATAGTGCTTGGTTCCGCGGCCCTGGGACCAAGAGACACCTGGGTGCGCTGCCTGCCAGGCTGTCTCAGCCGACTGCACTCTCCAGCCCAGGCAAGGCAGCGGGCAGTGCCTCGGCAGGGTGGGTGGGCACGGCGGGGCAGCCTCCTCCCGCTACTGTCACAGTCCGGGGCATCCTGCAGTATCTCAGACTTCCCTTCCTGTGAAACCTCCACACTCTGGAGCCAGGGCTAGTGGCGTGGGCGCGCTGTCCCTGTGGGCAGAGCCTCCTTACCAGGTCTCGCCCAAAGGCCTGCGACAAGACCATCTCCTGTTCCAGCTTCTTCTTGATGTACTCGGCAGACAGCACCATGCCCTGGCGGGAAACAGGGGTGTCACGTGAGGACTCAGGACCTGTGAAACCAGAGACCCGCAGCCACTGGCCCTTTCCTGCAGAGCCCACACAGCCTGGCTGTGGGACCTGGGGGTCACACGCACCGGGAAATCGGAAGCCTGGCCGGTGGTGTCGGGCAGGCACTGATGTGGCCCCTGCTGCCCTTGGGTCTCTGGAGATAGGGGCCCGGAAGCCACGCCCCCAGCCATCCCTCCTGCGGCCTAGGGAGCAAGGCCTCCACCCACAGCGGCATCCCAGGGTCCCCACTGAGCTGCATGCGGAGGACGAGTACCTTGTGGCCCAGCCAGGTGCCGCGGTGGCCCTCCACAGGGAGGCGCTCCGCATCACCGGTCAGGTCGGTCAGGGCATCCTGGGGGAGGCAGGGGAGGGCAGCAGTGAGGGCGGGAGGAGGACGGGCTGGGGCCCCCGGGCCTCGAGGGGCTCAGCGTACCTTGGGGGACAGCGTTCCCCGGATGCTGATCACCACTTTCTTCTTGTCGTGGTCCACAGCCACGTAGAAGGGGGTCTCGTACACCTGGGGGCGGCTGCGTATGAGCCCTGGCCTGGCGGTGGGGCTCCTCACTGTTCTGCAGGCCTGGACGTTCGGCTCTGGCGTCACTGAGCCCTGTGTTCCCAGCGCAAGGTCCCTGCCCTCCTCTGCTGGGCCGCCCGAGCGCCGCCCACCTTCTGGTCGCTCCCCGTGTTCACGGCTGCCCTCACGTCCTGTGCGCAGGACCAGCACCCCCGCAGGCTGCACTCGGGGCCAGGGTGGGGAGCGGCGGAGCTCACCGCGTCGTGGCAGGAGGTGTAGACGATGTCCACTGCTGACATGTTCTCATCCAGGAAGTGGCGCCGGATGGCAATGGCGTTGCAGCCACAGCAGTTGTCCTCCTCGATGGTGACCCCAGGGGCGAACCGGGGCCGTGTGGGGCACAGGCAGCAGCTGCATAGAGGGGTGGAGCTCAGGCGGGCGCCCCAGGCAGCAGGTCCTCCTCATCCTCTCCAGTGGGCCCCGCAGCCCCCAAGGTCACCCTGCTGTGACCCCATGACCTCCGTCTGGCACAGCTACACCCCAGCAAGCACCCCACGCCACCACGGCCCTGCGGAGCCACGCTTTCTCCCTCACTTCCTGTACCCATGTGTCCCTCCACACCTGCCCCTCGCCCACGCCCAGGTGTGACGGCGGCCCCCATCCTTGGCCTTCCCTCCCCCTGGCACCCCGCATACCTCTGCCCACCTCTCCTGCACCCCTGCCTGCACCATCCATCCAGGCGCCTCCTCGACCCATAGGCAGCCACCCCAGGGGTGACCTGGCCTCCGGATGCAACCAACCAGCAGGGTGCAGCTACACCTCCGGCCACCAGAGGGCGACGGCAGCCCACGGATGGGCACCGGAGCGCCTCCCTCGCCCTCTGGGACACTACTGAGGCCTATGAAGGGTCCTGAACTTGGGTGGCGCCTCGAGCTGTCTTCCCTCACAGCAGAGCAGTCTGTGGGGCTGTCACCTCCCCACGGGACAGGCCTCACAGATCCCGGGGTTCAGCAGAGCCCCTGAAGTCCGGGGCACAGAGCACCGGCCTTAGGCAACAAACAGAGTGGGTGCTGGCCGGGAGGGCCCAGGGCTGTCGGGGAACAGCACCCCGAACACTGTTGCTATCAGTGCCGAGAGGGCCTGGAACAGTGACCCCTCCCTCCCTTGAGGCCAGGGGAGGTGAGGTGGAGCCCCAGGAACCCAGCGGTACTGGCCAGATCTGGAGGGTGCAGGCTCTACCCCTGCGGACCCCCCATGCCAAACTTGGAGCAGGGCTGTGGACAACCAAACACCCTCCAGGTGGACACCACCTCTCATAACTGAGGAAAGGGCTTGACAGAGCTTCCTGTACTACCACCAGCCAGCTCAGGACTCCTGGTCCAGTGCTCTGAGTGCTGGCCCCAGCTGGGCCTCGAGAACAGGCAGGAAGCCAGGTGTGAGGCTGGAAGGAAGCGTGCAGGGACAAGGCCCAAGTGCTCCTGACTCGAGCTGCTGTGGCAGACAGGAAGTGCGTCCCAAGGGCCACAGCTCTCCGGGAGAGGGTGCTGTGGACCATGCCAGCCTTTCCAGATTAGGCCCAGGGAGCTGTCTTCCTCCTGCCCGCCCAGCCAGACTTGGACACAGCACAGACAGGGCCCTTCCTGGAGCCCCGCTCAGCCTCTGCCGGAGGACAAAGAGGGAAGCCGTAGCTACAGGCGCTCGCAGGTGCCTCGGGAAGGTGGCCGTGGACGCAGGGAGATGTGGGCAGAGTGGAGTGGAACAGAGCACAGCAGGAAAGGGAAGGGCACCAGCAGTGCCCACAGCTGCATGGCTCCCAAGGGCCCAGCCGCACGGCCAGGTCTGCAGAAGGAGAGGCACAGGGGCAGCGGCACTCACGAGCAGGAGCGGGCCAGCTGGCAGAGGCCGCAGGCGGGCTTGCGCATCAGGTACATGGGCCAGCCATAGGCTGCCAGGGCGAACAGCATGTAATAGCAGACTTCCTTGTAGCGCAGCATCTCGTGCTGGAAGACAGGGCTGGATGGGGGCGTGTCTCCAGAGCAGCATGTCCCCATTACTCCGTGCAACCAGGGCACAGATCCTCCCAGGACCTGGCCCGCACTCTGCCTCATAATTAATGATCTGGGGACAGGAAGTCACTGGGGCACTCGGCTGCCTCGCTGTCGGGCGCCAGTGTGAGTGGGTTCACCCTGCCAGGGCGATCAGGCCGGGAAGGGGACCCTTCTGCTGCCATGCTGGCCAAGGGGCCAGGATAGGCTCCCCGTCTGTGAGGCAGGGGTGGCACTCAGGAAGGGCCTGGCGGGGGTGCTGGACAAGGCAGCCACGTGGGTTGGAGGTCCCTGCTGCTGCAGACATTGGGCAGAGAGGGGCAGAGGGTCACAGCCCCCCATCCAGGGCCCCAGGCCACACTAAAGCTCAGGAGGTGACGACGGCTGAGCCTCGGCTGCCTGGAGGGGGCACTGCTACCTCCCGGATCTTGGGGAGATCAGGCCAGGGTCTGTGCCCAGCTCCCCGTGGCCTCTGCCAGATGGGAGGTGCGGCCCTGCCTTTGCCCCGCTCCAGATCCCAGGGTGGCAGCAGTCAGCCAGGCAGGTCCTGGTGGGTGGGGAAACTGGGCAGGTACAGCCTAGGTGTCCCTAAAGCTTGAGGTCACCGGGGCCACCTTCCTCACTGCTGCCTGCCGGCTTGGCTCCGTGTTGGGCCCCTCTGCTCTCCTGCAGCTCAGGTGAAGCAGTGCCCAGGGTCCCTTCACAGCTGTGGGGACTGGACAGCAGCCGAGACCCCAGTCCACGCTCCCCAGGCAGGGCCAGCTTCCCTCCCCAGAGATGCCCACCACAGCCTTGGTGGCTGGAGAGCCACCCTTGGACAGCAGTGGTGGTAAGGTTTGGCTCTCCCTGGGGAGCGCCCCGCCACCTCAGGGGCTTAGCAGTGACTTGGGGCTCCAAGCTGAGCTGGGGCTCCTTGGACAGCAGAGGACGGGGACAGGAGCAGCTGTAACTCACCGAGTTTTTGAGGTCGAGGTACTTGGTGTTTCTGGTCACGGGCATCCCGGACAGGAAGGCCAGGATGTCGTTGTTTGCCTGGAAGGCAGGTGCGGAGGTGGGTGGGGCCAGCCCTGGGGCTCCACTGCTCCCCAAGTCCCCAGGGGCAAAGGAGTAGGGAGCAGGGGATCACAATGCTAGGGTCCCATGATCAGAAGCTCCAGTTTCTAGATCCCTCCTCCACCAAAGCAGCATAGTCTTGTGGTGCTCTGTGAGGGCTGGGGGCTCTGTAGGCGCCAACACTGAGACCATGAGGACAGCAAAAGCAGCAGGGATGGGTGGGACAGCATGGCCCAGCTGAGATCCGGGAGGGCGGCCCGGACGCCGTCTGGTCACTCAGCCTGTGTGAGGGCGGAGGTGGGAGCTCTGAAGTGGGGACAGGGCACGTGCAGGGCCTCAGGGTCTGGTGCCCACCTCATCCAGCACCGCGCTGCGCTTGGCCCGCTGCCGCTGGCGGAGCAGTACCAGGCCAGCAATGATGTCTGAGGGCACGATGTCCAGATCTCGGAAAAACTCAGCGAAGAGGTAGGCGATTTCCGAGTAGGCATCCTGGCAGGTGCGGGCAGGCAGGGGCCACAGAGCCCAAGGGTGAGGCCAGCAGCTTCCCGGCGCCCCAGCCTCCACCTCCCTGGGCCTAGTATCCTCCAGACTAGTCAGGACGGGACAGGCAGGGACAGACTCAAAGCCACTGGGCTCACCCTGACGGGTCTGACAATCAGGAAGAGGAGTCCAGGTGGGGAACAAAACCTCAAGAAGCAGCTGCAGCTGGCAGATAGGACCCAGCTGCCAGTTTCAGAAATACAAGGCCCTTACAGGGGCCGACGCCCCATCTCCAATGCTGCTGGCCAGGTTGTGGGTTTTTTCTATTATTATTATTATTATTATTAATTATTTGGTACCAGGGATTAAACTCAGGACCTTGGGCTTACAAAGCAGGTAGTGGTACCACTGAGCTAAATCCCTGGCTTTTTCAATTATTTTTTTGTTGCTGCTGTTTTATACCAGGGATCTAGGGATTGAACTCAGGGCCTTCACACTGAGCTATATCCCGTCCTTTCCATCTCAAGACAGGGTTTCGCTGTTTCGGCCAGGCCTCAGCCTCACAGGGCGCTGGATGACCCCAACATTGTTGCACATGGTTGCACCCAAACACCCAGCTTCCAATTCAAGGTTTTAAGTAACAGCACAAATTGATCAAGAGAGCACAAGCTTATTAAAAAATCCAGCCCAAAAGTAGTGGCCCGGGCCTGGCCCCTTCACTATCTACATGGGATGGGACCCACCAGACTGAGACAACCGTCTCTGCGTGTGCCCTGCCTAGGGACCTCTGGGGCTCTCTCGGGTTTGCTCACTTGTTCTGCGGGGAGCTGCCCTGCCAGGTTCCCGCTGGCTTCAGACCGGCCTCCCGCCCTCCCTGCCCTGCTGCCTCCCAGCTGGGGGATGCTTGGCCGGTCACTCCCCCTCCTGGCACCAGAGCTGAGGTTCCCCACTCCTCTGGCAGCACTCATGTACCCAGACCTCCCAGACCCACCTGGGCTGGTGATGGGCCCCCTTCCCCTGTGCTCTGTCCCCTAAAGGAGGAGCCATTCCCAGGGCTCCATGCAGTCTTCACGGCAAAGCAAGTGACATCTGACTTGTGGGCTGAGGCATCGCCGGGGAAAGACAGACGGTCCCACACGGAGAGGCTGCCACCTCCAGCATGCCCTGCCCACCGGCTCCATTTTTCTTTTGGTTTGTTGACAGGCTCTCACCATGTAGTTCAAGGCTAGACTTGAAGTCACTATGTAGCCCAGGCTGGCCTCAAACTTGCCATAATGCTCCTGCCTCAGCCTCCTGAGCACTGAGATTATAAGTGTGCACCACCATGCCCAGCTTGCCCACTGGCTCTGCCACAGGAGCAAAGGAACTGAGGCCAGGGTGTGGGCCAAGGGCAGCGGCTGCCAGTACTTACAGATTGGGAGTCCTTGGTGCGGGTGCAGCACAGGAACACCTTGAGCCGGCGGGACCAGCTGGTGGCCTGGCCCTCCTCTAGGCGGTGCCTGCCAGGGGGACATGGGCATGAAGGGCCGGGGCTGCTTGTGGACACAGGCAGCCATGCCCAGGCCCCCATCAAAGGTGCCCAGCCCTGGGGCTCCTGCTGGCTGGAATGGTAAACCTGGCACCAGGGCATGGTGGGCATGCTCCCTGGCACACTGGGGGCTCCAGATGAGGCCAACAATGGATACACTGCAGCAGGCGAAGAGGTTCAGCAGCGGAACAGGTCCTCCCTGTGCTCCTGGCTGGGCCCCCGAGGGCTGAGCAGGGCTCAGAGGTGTCCAGACTCTCGGTAGCCAGCGGGAGGGACAGGCAGGCCCTTTGTTGGCCTCAGCTCCTCACTGTGCAAGGAGTGCCCCACCCGGTCTTCAGAGCAGGGGCCACTGGGGAGGGGCCTGGAGCATGGGGATCCTAGGCACATGGGCCTCCTTCCAGGGCTGGGTGAGGAGACAGGGCCAGCTGGCTTCCCAGGGCGCTGTTCTCTGATACTTTCTAACCCAACAGGGCTGTTGGAACTAGGGAGGATCCGCTGGCCAGCAGGCTGGGCAGGCTGGGCCTCCACCGCAGTGCCGCTGGCAGACACCAGGGGGCAGGTCATTTGGGGACGGTGCTAGCCAGGGACAGGTATGGTTAAGTGCTACTGCTGGAGGCAGGAGAGTAAACCTGGGCTGATGGAAATTCCTGATCCGCAAACTCCCTCCCTGCTGCATGCGGAAGCTAGAGAGAGCAGAGGCTCCTTCTGCAAAATCCTGAGCCAAGGCTCCCAGGAGGGGTGCTGGGCAGAGCCGCCCTCCTCAGCCCCGCGGCTCTCACGGCTGAGAGAGGCTGAGGACAGACGCACCCCGACTTCCGGCAGGGACAGGGCCCGCGCCAGAGTCGCTGCCTCCCCGAGAGTGGGCTTTCGAGAGCACACCCCAGCCTCACGCAGGGCGTCTGGTCGGGCCGCGAGCCCACACGGGGAGAAACCGCAGAGATCCAGGCGGCAGCTCAGGCCTGTTCCTCACCCTGGCAGCGGAAACCACAGAGCTCTCTAATTAAAACACAGGACCTGGCCCCCGGCGATCACCCAGCCGGGAAGTTTCTTTCCAGGACCGGTGGAGCCCAGAAACCAGGTCAGGCAGGGCGTGAGCTCCCGCGAGGAGGTGGGAAGCGGCTGTGGGCCTGGCTTTTGGGGCTGGGAGGTGGCCAGGCTGGGCGAGGGTGCCGCTCCG